ATGTTAAAAAAGGCCCTGAGGGTAGGGATTGAAAACTAATTTGAACTGTTCTAGAAATCCTTGATTCATTAATTGAAATCTTGTTCAAAATGTCGGGAAAATCCAAGTACTATAATGCCCATTAGGACTTTTTATGTTCAGCGACAAAGTCGGCAATAATTAGTAAACGTAGTTGACCAGTTGCCGGCTAACATTTTGCTAAGTACGGAAAAACAATATATATATACAGTATATATGATCAGTTATATTGTTTCATATGCATAAATGTCATCAGGGATGCCGGAACTTGGGGGGGGGGGCAGGAGGGGCAGCTGCCCCGTATTGAGAAGAAAGAAAGGTAAAATTAGAGAGTTGAAGATAGATTGAAGGCATTAAGGGAGGGAGGAAGATGGAGATGATGGAAGGAGCGAAGAAAGGGTAGACGGATAATAAGAAGGAAAGAGTAAGTGGAAGGGATGACTGATGGAAAGAAGGAAGAAGGGACGCAAGGAGAAAGAGGGGATAAGGAAGGAGGAATGAGAGGAAGGGTGAATGACGGATAGAAGGGGGAATGACGGACAGAAGAAGGAGGAAAGCAGAGTGGAAGAAAAGAAGGAACGAAGAAGGAGGTTCGGAGGAAGAAAATTAGGGGTGGGTGCGAAGAAACGATGAGGCAGGAAATAATAAATTATACATGGAAGGGCGAAGGAATAGGGACAGAGAAGGGAATGATAAGGAAAGCCAGGAGGGAGTGTGAAAAGATGAAAGAGAAGAAAGAAAGAATGACTATATCTGCATTACATGATTACACTGTATATCACAGCACTGATTATAACAATGGCAATAACACCAATCGCTACGCCAATTATCATACACTTGGTAAAACAGGGCTTATTGAATTCTTGAAACAGTTTAAAGGTTGAGTACAGTCCGTATGTAAACAAAGCCTTTGTTAGGCTGCCGGTATTGGACGGTTGTTTGAAGCGACTTCGCGTCTAGTTACGGCCCTGAATGTGTACCGTAGCTGAAACGAGTACTTTTTTGCCAATTTTAAAGGGAATTCTTCGTGTATTAGAATGGTCAACAATTTTTCTTAGATCGACTGAGTCACCCACCATGGCAGGATAATCAAACGACCTGTTTTCTTCGAGATTAGCCCCTAAACTTCCACCGTAGCTGTGTTCTGTATGACTGTGTTCCGTATCAAGTTGAGCTGCTTTCAGCTTAGCTCTCATGCAGCTACAAAAATGACTTGCACACACCCAAACGGGCAGCCATGTACAAACAGGAGGGGCATCTATTACAAAATTCTAATAATTCCCCAAAAATGACTGGTGGGGGTGGAGTGGGCGGGGGGGGGGGGGG